ATCCAATATTTTTTTCTTCCAATAGAAAATTTAAGCAAAAAGTATAAAACTCCTTAGCATTAATAATTACCATCTTGAGTGATCAGTGGGTAATCAGAGGCGCTGAGATTAATAAACCAATCCCAATCTCCACCTTCCTTCAGCAAAATGGCAGCCGCATGCAGTGTATTGGCTACCATGGTGGGCCCGCGGTAGGTTACCAAATTAGCCTTGGTAATCATTCGAACATTCTTGAATTTCCCAAATATGGGCTGGGTTTTCACGTAATTGTGCAGATCGAGGCGCTCTTCAGCGGAGGACTCTGCGTCGAGGTGAACCACATACTGATTGTGGGGATGGTAAAGCGCCTGGAGGGTGCGTCGGAGCATTCCGCCATCTCCTGCTGAGCCGGATATCAAATAAGCCAGGCGCGGCGGCGGCGGCAGGATTGAAATCGGTACAGGATGGAGCTTGGACTCAACAAAAATTGACGCGGCCGTGGCAGAGGAGTAGTATCGTTGAAGTGGCAGCAGCGGCACCCCATCCGGCGAGGTTAAGGTGGTTAAAAACAAAAGAAACAAAGAAACTATTGAGCCAATGGCTAATGGGAAGATCCATTTTCTCTCCATCGTTTGCGGGTGCCTCAAATGCATATAACAGTTCTTTAGCTTCTTCATCTCATCAAATATGCAAAAAAAAAATAAACAAGAAAAAAATTGAGATTACAGAAAGTTGAATTATTTTTTGAAATGGGTCAAATCAAGAGATTAATTTCAAGCAGAACAACAGGTACATTCACGATTTGTGGGGTGGGGGTTGTATGAACTGAGGAGTTGGGTAAAAGGTGGGGATTTGGTGTTGGGGTTGCAGGCGGGTGGAGTGAAGATTGGTTTAAGTATTTTTTTTCTCTTCTTCTCCCCCCGTGAATGATAAAATCCATTATTTACCCAATTTTATATTGTCAATTTTGACCTATAGTCATAATTCTAACCTTCAAAATTTGACGAGTAATTACATGATTATTCTCTGTTGATAAAAGTTATTCAAATCTAATTTTTATCTCGTGTGATTTGCATACGAAATTAGACTTTACTTCAATTGTGTCAAAAAA